TATTTATTAATTTTAAAGACACTACAATCAATTCTTATATACATGCTGTAAAGTCATAACAATGATAATAATAATAAAGAAATTATTGTTTGTGTAAAATCAGCAAGTAACACGATTGCAACTAAAGAAATATTATAATATTATTAAAAAATCAACACAAACAAGAACATAAAAAATTTAAAAAACAAGGTTAAGTAGGATTCTAGAGCAAATTTGTAAAAAGTAATGGAAACAAGGACAGGTAGGATTCCGAATGACCGATGTAAATACAAAATGAAAATCCTACTCGTGATGCAAATTCTACTCTACATTGCAAGGTGATTCGTAATTCTTACATAATAACATTAAAAGTACAATGTACAGTAGAATTTGCATCACAAGTAGGATTTTCATTTTGTATTTTCGTTGGTCGTTTAGAATCCTACCTGTCCTTGTTTCCATTATTTTTTATGAATTTGCTCTAGAATCCTACTTAACCTTTTCAAAAAAAATTTTTTATGTTTTTATTACTAGGATGATAATGAATTATAATTAGAACAAGGACATAGAAAGTGAAAGGAGCAAGAGAGAGAAGAAAAATTACTAAAAAGTGATTAAAGAAAAATTCGTCTCAGAGTGTTTCTAGCCTGACCCGATGACATGGACAGTAGGCCCATAGTTGGCAGAGCATTCCATGATCTTAGGAGTCGTGAGAAGTAAAAGTGTTGGGCTTTATTCGATTGACAGAATCTATGGGTGAGTTTGACACCATTAGATCTAGTTGGAGTCTTGGAGAAGATGAGAAGGGCACATGTAAAGTTACAGATATTGAATGCCATAGACAGACTAGATAAAGATGTCAAGAAGAATGTAATGTCACACAACTGATAAGTTATCATCAGTGGCAAAATTTATAATGAGTTATGAGTGAAGTCTAGTCTTGTAAATCAGAGGAATAATCATTCAAAATCCACTTTGTGGCTTTATGTTGTACCCCCTCTAGAAGCAATATGTCCCTTCTAAGATGTGGCCTCCAGACTGGAGAACAGTATGTAAGTTGGGAGAGCACAAGAGTGAGATAGAGAGTTTTACTGACAGATATGGAGGTATGAGTGGAAGAGAAAGTACGCCTAATTAGGCCAAGCATTTTATAGGCTTTAGCAACAACAACAACAATAATAATAATAATGAATTAAATTACCATTAATTAATAATAATTATAATTAAATAAAGTAAATTTTGCAGATTTCACAATTATTTGAAGATTCGCAAAAATCAAATTATTATGGTACAAGATGGCAGGCGGCATAAATTTGCAAAAATTAAATCCACAAAATAGATTTTTAGGCAAATTTGTAAAAATTTATAGCCTATGGAAGTGTACATTGTATCAGGCCTGATATTGTGTCAGGGTGTGGCAGAGGGTGGAATCATGTAATGTAATTATTAATTTATTATGAATTACAACACAACATGAAAATAATGGTATTATCTTAATAGTTTATAAATAATTAATCATTAATTTCAATGATACTGCAATTACTGGACAATAAGGCCAATTAGTATTGTCATTATTATTTATAATTGTAAAATACTATTAGAATATAAAAATACAATAATCCTTTTAATAAACAACAAGTCGGTAATTAATACAATCACAAACATACAAAAATCCATCTTTATCAAATGCTAATCCAATAGGATCATTAAACTGATCAATATTGCTGCCTTTACATCCAAACTTACTAACAAACACACCATCACTAGTGAAGACTGATGTACGATTATTGCCCCCTTCACTAACATACACTAGACCAGTAGCTGCAGTGTCTATTGCTATACCTGTAGGACCATTAAGCTGTCCAGGACCAGATCCTTTAGTACCAAACTGACCCACAAACTTTCCATCTGGAGAGAACTTCTGAATGCGATGATTA